AATGATTATAGTCCCCTCTGTATATTCAACAGCATTTGCTTCTATTCCCTCTGTTATTTTGTGTGTGTGTGTGTGTGTGTGTGTGTGTGTGTGTGTGTTTTGGGGGGTGGTGTACACGAAACCACTCAGGAATATATAATCATTTAAACCACCAAAGGGCACATTCTGCAAGCCTGCCTCCTGCCCACCAGCACACAGCCTTTCTCTTTCCATGAGTCTAGAGTCCTTAGCTGCTCCCTCTCTCCATGTCCTCATCTCTGCCTCTATCTCTAGTGTCATTGCTTCTCTGGATAGGGTCTCCCTTATTCTGCTCGTGCTCTTCTTCCTTGATGGTCCTAGGGCCCTCTGTTCCTGGACTGTAAGATTAACTACTCTCCTCTTTTTGTTACAAAGCTTCTACCTTTATAGTTGTGACAGTCGCAATTAGTCATGATAACAATGACTCACTATCTAATCATAAGAATCTTATCCTCATCTCCTTTCACCAGACTCATCTAGATTAGTCTGAAAACTATTCAGTGGGGAGTCTACCTTCCCTTGCACACTCTTAAACTGAACTCCCTCTGGAAAACTTATAAGCCAGCCACTTTGTGCCTTCATTGCCCCTTCATTTTAGGTAACCAATGTCTAAGTTTCCTATCCCTATTAATAGGGAGCTCCTTTTCTCTGTTCTATTAGGTCACTATGCATCAAAATTGACTCAATGGCAGTGGGGTTTGTTGTTGTTAGGTGCCATCGAGTCAATACCAACTCATAGTGACCTTATGCACAGCAGAATGAAACAGTAGCTGGTCCTTGACCAACCTCACTACTGTTGCCACGCTTGAGCCCTTGATGCTGCCACTTTGCCAATCCATCTTGCTGGGGGTCTTCCTCTTTTTCTCTGACCCTCCACCATATCAAACACGATATCTTCCAGCGACTGGTCCCTCCTGACAATATGTCCAAAGTATGAGAGATGAAGTTTGGCCATCCTGGCCTCCAAGGAGCACTCTGGCTGCACTTCTTCCAAAACAGATCTGTTTGTTCTTTTGGCAGCCCATGGCACTTTCAATATTCTCCTCCAACACCGTAACTCAAATGCATAAATCCTTCTACAGTCTTCCTTATTCACTGTCCAGCTTTCGCATGTATATGAGGTTACTGAAAATACTATGGCTTGAGTTATGGGATTTGAGGGGAAACTATATTTAAGGCAACTGGGTGGCTCAAATGTTTATTGGCTCAACTAATAGTAAAAAAAAAAAAAAAAAAAGGCAGTTCAAACCCACCCAGAGGATCCTTAGAAGACAGGGATGGCAAACTCCTTCCATAAGACCACAACCTCGAAAACCCTCCGCAGTAGTTTTACTTTGCTCACATGGGGTCATCGTGAGTCAGAATCAATGGCAACTGACAATACAAATTGCATTTATTCTGGACAACAGAGAAGCATCAGTCTTGTTTTTCTGGTGGTAAATAAGTATGCATCAAAATATTTACCATTTAACCATTTGATGCCATTAAGTACACTCATCAAACCCTCACCAATATGTGTTTTTGAATTTGTCCACCACCCTCCCCAGAATCTCCCTCCTGTGCTGATAAACGCTATGCGTATGCACTTGGGTGGCGTTCAATTTTGATTTGTTTCAATCTTGATGATGTTAACTTTGACCACTAGATAGTAGGACTGTAGGATAAGCACTGGACTACTCACCTCGAGGTTGGTGGATGAAACTTATCAACTGGTCCTCAGAAACCCTACACAGGGTCACTATGGGTCAGAACCAAGTCTATGGAATTTATAACAACAAGAACAGAATTGTTGGATAATATAGACTCCACACCACTCATCTGTCAGTTTGTCATATTGTGGAGGCTTGTGTGTTGCTGGGAGCTATGTCACCGGTATTCTGAATGCTAGGGTACAGGTCTCCACCAAACTTCCAGACTAACATAGAACGAGAAATAAGGAGAGAAAGACTACGTCTAAATGATTAGTCATTGAAAACCTTATGAATAGCAGTGGAACACTGTCAGCACCAGAAGATTGAACATTGAGACATGATAAAGAGCACCAGACTATATTGTCAGATATAATGCCAGAAGATGAGCCCCTTCGGTTGGAAGGCACTCAAGATATGACTTGCAAACATCCCTTAATAATCAGAACATGGAATGCATGAAGTCTGAAGGTGGCAAAATTGGAAGTTGTCAAATATGAACTGGAATGCATAAATATTGATATCCTAGGCATTAGTGAGCTGAAATGGACTGGTATTGGCCATTTTGAATCTGACAATCCCTTGGTTTGCTATGCAGGGAATGAGAAATTGAAGAGGAATGGAGTGACATTCATCATCAAAAAGCACATATCAAGATCTGTCTTGATGCTGTCTGTGATAGGATAATCTCCATACACCTACAAAGCAGACCAGTTAATGCCACTATTATTCAAATGTACGCACCAACCACTAAAACTAGTTATGATGAAATGGAAGACCCTTGTGTGGCGCTCTAGGATCAGCACTGAACTGAGAACCACAAGGTCAGCAGTTCAAACTCACCAACTGCTCCTCAAAAACTCTGAGTTGGAACCAACTTGACGGCATTTAACAACTTCAGCCTGAATTGATCAAACATGTAATCAAGATGTGTTGATAATTACTGGCGATTGGAATGCAGAGGTTGGAAACAAA